AAAAGGGAAGAGATTACCCATCTTTCACCACAGCTCCCTTTTATATTAGTAGTTGTTTATTTTAGTAAGAAAGTGAAAAATATGTGCACCACCCAGGGACCTTCTCTAGGGCACAAGATCCCAGAAATCATATCATTCTATACTCTCTGGAATAATGTCTCCGTGTTGAAACCACTGAGTTCTTAAACCAGTTCTAAGGGAAGAGACATAAGGTCCGGAATGGCTAAGAGTGTAAAATTCTAGCCCCAACCAATTGTCCAATGACATTCACTGTTTGACCTCAGAATTGTAAAAAGGGGACACTGAAGACCCAATTACCCCTGAGATCTGAGGAAAGATTGAGTAGATATGTTGGTACAATCTGAGGAGTCCCTGGGGCCAGGCCACAGAACAGTGTCTGGGTTCAAAAATTTGGAAGAGCTTTGCCTGAGGCTCTGATCCAAACTTAAAAACTCAAATCCATTGCCATGTGTCTTAACCAGCTCATAACCGACACTTCAGCAGGTCTCCAAGGCTGTAAATCACATAGGAAGAGACTGCCCTTCTTTTTGTCTAGGAGCTGCAAGGAGCGGCTGGTGGATTTGAAAAGGCTAGCAAAGCGCCACCTTTGGGTTAGTGTTGCAACTGCACATGGACTCTAGTTCAAAAACTGTTCCATCTGCCCTGTCTATAGAGTGTGTAGCCACCAGGTGGCAGTCAAAGCTATGACAGATGGAAAGCCGCCTCCGAAACTGAAGGCCAGAGGGGCCAGTAGTGCTTATCCTTAACCCCAGAACCTTAGAATAGAAAAGAAAAAAATACGTGTATGTGTATATACCTTTGTGGAGTTGAGAAATCTGGACGTACAGCTGTACAAAAGACTGGCTTTTAGTCCTGGCTTTGAGTCTCTTCCCTCCTTTTGTTCCTTCTCCAAGGGAGATCAGATCTGCCCTAATATTGGTGATACAGCGCAGCATAGCGCTGATTCTACCCTCGAGAAGCTCTCAGACCTGAGGCAGGGGTCAGACAGAGAGAAGGAAGCACAACACGCTGTAGACCTTGAGGGAAGTGACGAGCCTATAGCTGCCCAGAGGAAGTCCCTAACTCTGGGATGGATGTAGTGTCAGCAGAACTTTATTGAAGAAGAGATCTATAAGCTAACCTTAGAGGAATTATTGACTAGTCTCAGGTGTGATAACAATATAGACATTATCTCTCTGTTACTTCCCAACAACCCTGTGGGAAAGACACACAGAACCAGCTTCACTTACAGGGCAGATGAAAGGCTAGGTGACCCCACAGAGCCAGCATTTGACCAGTATCTGCCTGCTTCTCAAGTTCAAGCCCTTGGCCACTGTGACAACACAGGGACCAAGGCCAGGGTGAGTTGAGCTGAGCAGTAAGAAGAGAATTGCTTCCCTACCCTGGTCTTCAAGCATGTTCTGACTGTTCAAACCATCTGACTCCCTGTGAGGTTGACCCAAAAAGACAAAGCAGGTCTATGACTCAGATCTCAGCCTCCCTCACCAACCCCACCCCATGCTAGAGAAGGAGGACACCGATCTCTTTGGCTTCTTAAAGCACAATAAGCAAACAGTATTTCTGCTCTTGTCGCTCTGAGGATGAGGGTATTAATCTCCAAACTTATCTTGACCACTTAATACTGTGGCTTAAAACAAGTGAAACTCTGGAGATATGAGAGAACTGTCAGACTTTCGGAAACCAAGTTGACTACAAGTTCCTCTTCAGCCGTGCAACCCTGGGTGGACATTTTCTATGATCGAGTTTGGTTACACTTAGAAAGTAACTAAAAAGCCTCCATCTCATTGTTGTCAAGACAGAAGCGACTCATAAGTAACCCTCCAGCTAGTTTTCCGAGGCGGTAAATCACACGTTCATTTTTAGCCCATTTTTCTCCTGCAGAGCAGCTGGTGAATTAGAACAGCCAGAGAGGTACTGTTTGAGGGTTCATAGCCGTGCAACTCCCTACCAACTACTAGAACGTAACTGTGAAATTCACACACATGAGGGGAGGAAAAAGAAGGAGGAGGCAAGGAGGCAATGTCGGTTCAGAAAGCAGGAAGAGCAAGGAAGAAGCCCTAAACCAGCCTTACAGGCCCGGCCTTGGAAAGGCAGAGCAGCAATTCCCCATTACTCATGGAAGGGAGAGTCGGGAAATAGTTTCTGCACAAGAGGTGATACTCTAAAGGGAAGAGACGGGGACTTTCCCGACCATGGAGAGGCATTAAGGCAGCTTGAGAGGTTGGAGAGAACTAGGGAGGGAGCAACAGCGAAAATAAGCTGGAAACAGAAGAGACCCAAGGAGAGATAAGACATGGGCATCAGGCTTCTTTGGAAGGAGGCGAAAGGGAGAAAACAGAACAAAGAAGCCTAGAGACAAGCAGAGAAGGAGACTGAGAAACAGACTGAGAGACTCTAAATAGACAGTGGAAAAGGCTGCAAAAACACTGCGTTCAAACAGCAAGGAGAGACTGACTGTTAGGGGTCCTGCCCTGCCCAGCCGGGTCCCGCCCCCTTGTCTGTCACTCAAGGAGCAGAGACTCCCTCCCCTCCCCCAAGGCCGGGGAGGAGCACCCGCCTCCCCCCCCCACCCGCCGCCCACCCCACCCGGTAACCGGAGTTCCCTTTCCCGGGTCCCCCGAGCTCCGCCCCCCTCGGGACTGGCTGCGCGACCCCGATAGATGGTAGGGGGCCCAGCTGCTGCGTTATCAGCCTCCACCAGGAGTGAGCCTGCTCCACTCAGCGGCTGCCAGTCTGAGATTAGGCCCCGGGAGGGTCATTAAGCGGCCGCTCTGGCCCGGGCCCAGACTCCTTTCCCTCCCTGATCTGGCCAGGCTGGCAGGTGGGAGCCAACGATAAGGATTGGGGGTCTCGGGATGGTTCTGGGGCTGGCAGCTCCATGCTCCCAGCCCCCTGTCAGGGCAGGCGCACGCGGCTGGAGCAGGGGTAAAGGGCCAACCCAGCCTCTGCTGGGACCCCCAGGCTTCCCACAGTTCAGGCCTTGCCCAAATTGAGGGAATCCGCATGAGGAGGGGGCTAAGGAGGCTTCAGGAGAGGACGCAAGATTGTTCTGGGACCAGTCCCAGGGCAGGACTCCGGAGGCTTCGAGGAACCGGTGAGTAGGGGCAGAGGCAGGCCCCTCCTGGAAAAACCTCAGGTGTAGGAGGTTGGACTTCACCTTCCTGCAGGGAGGCAGGTGGATGGTGAGTTGGCTGTCAGTCCAGGCCTGATCACATAGATGGAGTAGGAAGAGGTCATATTGTACATCCACACACCTCCACTCAGCTCCAGCAGTAACGGCTAGAAAGAAATGGGCCTCAGACAATGAGTATCATCAGATCCAGGAAGTCAAAAGACCCAGATGAGGAAGAAATAGGTGGTGTGCCATAGCAACAACCTGGCTTTCTAGGAGCCTCTGTCTCTTCAGTTATGCAAGCTGACATAGCTGGCTACCTGACTCTACTCTCTAGTCCCAAGTATACTTCTGAGGAAGGGGAGCCCTAGCTTCACACACACACACACACACACACAGAAGGAATATGCAGAGTTTAAACTAGTAAGGGTGGAGAGAAAGCATCAGTTACAGAAAATAATTACAGCAAAAGCTTAAGAGTGGGGACCACAAGAGATACTGCATAATTTAAGGTGAGGCCCAGAAAGGGAAGGGAACTAGCTTGAGATCACACAGCAAAACAGGGGCAGTCGTTGGTCAAAGACTGCTTTCCCTACCCAAGGGTCTTCCCTCTGCTGCAGCCTTCACCCCAAACTTCAGTGAGGTGAAAAGAGAGAATTCTGATTTGAGGTAAGCCTCTCCCACGAGTAGCCAAAACTTTCATGATGAGAAAAGTGAGGCTCAGAGAAGACAGTGACTTTCTCAGGGTCACGGTCTCTCAGGTCCACAGAGATCCCAGGGTTTATATCTGGGCTCATTAAGCCCTAAAGACTCCTCTCTTGGTCTAGCGAGAGGGTTGTGGGGCTGGGAGATAGAGCTGGAGAAAATTACTCTGGAATCTCCCACAATGCCAGGCAGTGCCAGACACACTGAGGGATCTTATAGAATGAAGGACTACCCAGAAGGCTCAACAGGTCAGACTTGTAGTTTGGGTGACTTACGAGAGAAAGAGGGGTTCTTCATAGAGCAAGGAGCAGAGATGAGCTCCTGGCCTCAGAGGCCTCCTGGAGAGATCCCAAGGCCTCTAACACCCCTTTCCGGCCCAAGAACAAGAACTTTGGGGTGCTTCTTGAGCTGACTTCAAGGTCTGCCTTCTGCCAGGAAACTCTGCTGATTGCTCTAGTCAAAGAAGGAATTTGGCCTGGCAGGACAAAATCCACCCTACTGTCAGGAATTGACTCACCTGCCCTTGGCCTCCCTGCCTCCCCAGCCCTCCCATAAAAATGAGACACCAAACATTCCCACTCGTGGGCACTTGTGTACTCCCATGTGAGACGAGACGGACACTCGAGAATACTCACCCTGGACATAGGCTTTTGCCTATCTCCCAGCCTGGCCCCCTCCTGCCATAGCTGCCCTGTGATTGCAGGGATTACCTGGGTAATCTGGTAATGCAGTGGATCAGAAAATAATTTTCAGATTCAAAGCAAAGCCTGGCCTCACTGACAGTCTGAGGGTCTATTTCTTAACCTTAGGAACTTCTGCTCCAGTTGTACAAAAGTCTTTATTTCACAGAAATAAGGGTCATTTCCACAGTTAGGGGGAGGAGGTTTTAGGCAGGTTGGGAAATGCTGGAATGACTGTTCTCATGGAAGGCTTTGTGAATCTGGTGAGAGTCTCCCTAAGAGACCCCAGGGCCACAGCCAAGCCTCCACCTGTACACAATCTGATGCTAAAATTCAGGAAGGGCAGGGCTGGCATGAGGATTGAAGATGGAACCAGCCCTTACTGTAGATTTCTGCACAGAGAAGGTGGTGGGGAGACATAGGCCATACAAGCCTGGGAGCCTCAGGCCTGGAATCAGGTCCCAGGATTACAGATCCCGGGATCACATGGGAGTGCTCCGGACATTGCCCTCCTCCACAGAGATGTTCTCATAGGCGTTTTCATACTCAGTGGACCTGAAAGAGGATGGCAGGGACTAGTGGAGTCATCACCCTTCCATCCCATCCTCCAGCACTAACCTACACTTGAGTGGTCAGTGTTTTCTAGAATAAATATTTAATCCCCAGAAGGGAATTCTCCTGACCACATCTGGTTAAATGCTTCTGAGAGAGTAGAATCCTCTCTACACCCCCTTCCTGAACCCCACCTCCCTCTAAGCCTCTTTTTTCACCCTTCCTCCCCACCCTGAGCCCTTTCCCCATGCAGTCTCCTCCCTCTTCACTGATATTACTTCCTCCATTGAGTTTCCTCTTGTCTCCCACACTGATACTTCATCTTTCTGTGGAGTTCTGTCGTCCTCACTAAGCCCCATTGCCTCATCAGCCCCTACCTCACTGAGCCCTTCCCCATCATGACCCCTCCACCCTTTCAAACCCTCTCCCCATCAGAAGCACCTAGAAGTACAGAGCAGTCAGCCCCATACCCATTCCTCACCTGAAGCCCGCCGCCATGGAGGAGTACCTTCCATCTGTCCCTACCAGGACCTCCTCTGCCTTGTTTCCACCCATCATGACCATGTTCACAGGCTCCCTGTGCATAGAGACATCAATAGAATTCTTGGCCTTCCACCTTCCTCCCTTCCCCAACCCTCAGACCTCCAACAGGCAGAAGTTTTCCTTTCAGAGAGTCGGCTTTCCCCAGCCAGAACACTGTCAAACGCCTGATTTCAGCCCAGCTGCCCTGGAACTTCACACTCTCCCTTGCTCCTTTGTGGGGACTCCTTGGGGATGGCTCAGATTTGCAAAAACTTTATCCTGACTCCACTGCCTCTCTAGCCCTCTCCCTGACTCCCTCTGTTTCCATTCTGGTCTCCGCTCAGCCCCCATCAGATGTAGCAGCCTCTCTCTTGGCCCCAGGGTTCTTCAGGACTTTCCTGAGCCAATAGGAGCCAATGGGCCAGTGACCTCTGAAGGCAGAGCCTCGTCAGTAGCCTCGTCAGTGGAGAAAGGAAGCCTTTTCCTCACCTCATACACAAGTTTAAGTTCACTGCAGTGTGGTCTCTGCCTCACTACCCCACGAAGTTCACCAGTGGCCCTTACATTCCCTGGCCACTCCACAGGGATCTCATTCTTGCCCCCAGATCTGCTCCTTCTCTTGTGTTCTGTCTCAGTAAACATCTATCCCCCAACCCCCAGCAGAAACCTGGCTGTCACCCTACTCATCCTTCTCTCCTGCTCTCTGTGGTCTCCACCCACCAAGGTCCAGAGCATCCTAGACCTGTCCCTTTTCTCTTCACCCACTCTGCCACCTCCACCTTGGCAGTCTAGTTTCTCTCCTGGCCTCATAACACAGCCTCCTTCCTGGTCTTCCCACCTGCAAACTGGCCCCTCCCATCCATCTGCCCCGTGACACGTGACACCCAGAGTAGCTCCACTGTATCCACATCTCATCCTGAAATGGCTTAAACTCTTTTCCGTGGATTCTTCTTGCTCTAAGGATAAAGTTCAAAGTTTAGAGAACAGCCGTATCAGCTGCTGGTTGACCTGGGCTCTGCCCCATCACCTGCCTCATCTCTGGCCTTTCCCATAACTCCACTTTCCACCCTCCACCCCCACCCTGGTCATCTGAAATGCTTGAGTTTCTCTAAGCCAGCCACGCTGGCTTCTGTGAGAGTTGGAAAGATGCCGCTCTGGACAAGCACAGTCAGAGGATTTGCGGAATGGCTGAGCACAAGGAGTTTGATTTCAGTCCCACCTCTGCCTTCTCTCCCTTTGCACATCTGTAGCGCTAAAACCACGCTCACTCAGCACCCAGGGACTGCAACATTCCACGCCAGCCCTCTCCTAGGACTGACTCCGCATCCTTCAGAGCAGTCTTCTCTGACCAGCAGTCAGGTCAGGCCCTTTATCTTTAGCTGCAATAGTGACTGCCTTCATGTCCTTCTGCCTTGCCAGTCTGAGAGCCTGTGAGGCCAGGGGTGTGTCTGTCCCATCACCTCACTGTACCCTGAGCAAAATGCGCAGTAAATGACTCTAAAGAAGGTGAGATCTTCCTTTCCAGAGGTTAATCCCACTATCCAGATAGGAACATTGAGATTCAAGGAAGCAAAGCTATTTCCCCAAAGCTCATTCTCCCACAGAGCCTCTTCTGGGCCAGCTCTGGGAACCAGTGAATCTGAGCTTTCACACAAGCTATCACCAACTGGTCCTGCAAACCTGGGCTCAGTTTCCCTTCCACACAGAGGACAGATTCCAGGATTTCTAAGATCCTTCCCACTGTGACTGGAGCTGACTCTGGGGCCAGCCCTACCTGCTAGGGGACCATCCAGACCCAAGACCCTCAGGTAGCACTCACGGTTCTTCCTGGCACCAGAAGCGGTTGACAGCAAAGGCAATTGCAACAAGGACCAGGAACACAGCCACAGCAATGAGACCCTGCATCCAGGGCTTCAGTTTTCCCAGGCCTGGAAAGGGGAGATGGTGGGCTGTAGTGGGCCGCAACAAGGAACAACAGAGTAGTAGGGGGCCCAGGCCCCTAGGATGGAAGGAATCAGCAGCATGTCTCCAGGACCACAGGAGGCATTTGGGGAGGGCAGAGTGAGGATGAATGAATGAGTAACATCTGACTACCCCCTCCCCACTGAGCCTAAGAGGGTGACCAATAGAGTTTCAGAAAGAAAACCACACTTGGAAGGATGAAGTGCTAGAGAAGGGGACAAGTCGGGACTCTTCCTGAGACCCAGGCAGCCCACGTCTCTTTCTCCACACTACCTCGGTCACATGCAGGGGGCCTCTCTAGCAGCTCTCAGGCCCCAAGGCCAAAGGGCAGCTCTGGACAGAAACCTCCAGTCTTCCAGCCCAGAGTGGCTCCCCTCCTCTTCCCTGCTACCAGCAGACTGAGGGGCTGCCCAATCTGGAAGATCCTGTTCTGTAACCAGGTCCCTCTGGTGCTGGGGAGAGTGCGGGAGCGTTGGTCAGGCAGGGCTCCTCAGTTAGGGGTGCCAGAAATGTCCAGAGAGAGGTGCTGACGAGACATCCTTGGAGATTTGAAGAGGGAAGACAGGGACACAAAGCTGCCCTCTAGGTGTCGGTGGGGGCAGGGGGTCTGGACATGAAGGGAGTTTCAAAAGCTGAGCCCCTGCTGGCTCCCCCTGCTGGCTACCCGAGGACCAGAGAAGAAATAAAATCTTGTCTTGCCTCTTCTTGCCTTTTTTGAGCCTTGGTCCTCAACACCACCTCAGAGCCTCAAGATTTTCCAGGAGTCTCCTCCTGCTGCCCACTGACAACCCAACAGATCTTCATCACGGTGCCCCTTGAGCCTGAGGGGAAACGTGCTGCAGCCAGAGGTCCAACCAAGGACGAACCATTGGAGTCCACATTTTGGAGGCTCAGTCTTGGCATGAAAAACCTTAGTCTGCCTCATTCCTGCTCACAAGTCCTTCCTTGAGTCTACCCTAAAGCTCTCTTGCTGTGACAAAGACCTCACAGGCAGTAGGCTGAGGAGAGTCTGGACACTTCCTGTGACCAAAGTCAGAGCCTGCCTGACTCCAGCACTATCGTAACATATAGTGAATGTGGTTGCCCAAATCTCATATTTTGACAAAAGCAGTATTTTGGATTTACTGTTTCCCCAAACAAAAAAAGGCATAGAATCAAAAAAAAAAAAAAAAGGCATAGAATCATGTTTCCTCACGTCACCCTGCTCAAGGATTAGAAGTAAGGGAGTGCCTCTCCCTGCTTCCTCCAGACCCTAGAGCCAACCTCCTGCAGACACACCTGAGTCCCTGGCTCCTCCTTCCTTGAGGCATCTGATGAGGCATATGAAAATAAGGGAAGAGCCTGAAGCAAGAGAAAGGTGACCTAGGTCCTGCCCTGCCTTGCCCTGCTGTGTGGCCAGCACACATCCCTCAACTTCCCTGGCTTCAGCTTCCCAAAGGGCTTCCAAGACCTGGAAGCAAATAATCATGAGAGCTCAGGACACCTGAGAAAAGGAGAGGGTGCTCTGGAAGCACCTTTACAAGCCTCTCTGGACCCAAGTCCCTCCTACTGAGTCCTCAGCCACTGTCTGGCTACAGTGACAGAGCGAGCAGAGCAGATGCCAGACTTCAGGGTGTGGTGTTCGGCTCAGTGTGTGCAGAGCCCTTCCCCACCACTGACTGGGTGGCAGGCGTGAGAGGTGAGCAGGGTGGCGTTTAGTGTGCTCATTTTAGTGGTAAGTAAACTTGCATCTCAGAGAGAGGCAGTGATTTGCTCATGGCCTCACAGCAAAGCAAGGTTGAGCTGAATGAAGAGCTAAGGTGCAGAACAGAGGCTGCACCAGGGCACTGGCCCCACCCAAGCCAGGAATCTGGAATGACAAAGACTTAGGTCAAAACCTTCAACAGTCTCTCACTCCATTGCCTCCTCCCCCCAGCAAACCTGGCTTTCAAGGGCTGCGTGGACCCTGTTTGCGACCTCACTTCCACATCCTCATAACTCCTGACTCCTGTCCTCAGGTTCCAACCATCTGTAGGGCAACTCCCACTCTTAGGGCTTGGTTCCCAACCTTATTCCTTCCCTAAATCCCAAGCCCAATATTTTCTCTGCTGCCCTGATTCTCAAACAGAAATGGAGCTCTGCAATCGGAGCTTTTCTCCCTGTTATCTCAGTCCCTGCTCCTCCTTCCTCACCTCAAACTGTAGGTGTCACCCCCAAAAGACCACCCCAGGGACTTCTGAGCTACCAGCTCCCGCCCCGGCACAGCCTTCTCCTCACCACCCGCCTCCACCAGGGCTGACCCTGATCTGTGCTACCTTGCTGACAGCTGACGGGTGGCACCGCAGTGAGCAGACCCAGAATGAGCAGGCTGAGAGCCGACATGGCTGCAGGGGGCTCCTGGGCCTTCTGTCCAGCTGCTGTGTCAGGGCTTGCTTCTGTTGCCACGATCTGATCCGTGACTCTGTCCTTTCTGCTTTTTCGCAGCAGGGCTCTGTCTGGCCCTGGAGGACAGAAGCCAGTAAGGAATAAAGTGAAGGAGGGCGGAGGAAGCAGAGAACCTGCCCTCCCTCCCACAGTAATGAGCTGCTAGGGGCCTGCCCTCCCCTGGCTGGTGCCCAGCTTATTCAGGCTGGCACTCAAAGTCGCCTTTCAGAGACTAGCTATGGAGGTGAGTCTGCAGACCAGGAAGATGTGGGGAGAGTCCCAGCCTCACCTATAGGCCCGGAGTTTCTACCTGAGCTCCTCCATTCTTGGAAGTCAGCCTGGGCTCTGGGGAAAGAAGTGACACATTGTTCCTCCTATTGTGAATGAGCCCAGTGGCAGGTGGGGCTTATGGAAGGCTGCTGGTAGAGTGAAGCAATGTGCCATCTGGCTCAGGAAGCATGTGGGAAACCCAAAGGTCCAGAGGAGGCTCAAGACTGCCCACCTTCCCAGGGCCAGGCCTGATTCCTGTTCTCCACATCACCTGTCCCTGCTCAACCAAGTCAGATCCTAGGACCCCAGTCCTGGATACAATCCCTGTCTCTTCTATGTCCCCTTAGCCCATCACAGTAGATCCAAAAATCCCCCCTTTGCCATGCTGACCATCAGAGAGGGTTCGAAAGACCCAGGCATCCAAGGCCTGGACCAAGCCGCTACCCCACCTCGCTGCCTGAGCCTACTTCAACTCTTCCACTTGACCCCAAATGTGGTCTTAAGAGGCAGTATGTGCTATCCTCCAGAAAGTCCCCAGGAAGGACTTCCCTCCGGCAAGATCAGGGCTCAGTCAGAGGTCTTCACACTGCAAGGTTGAACCCTTTGTTCCAACACCACTCATCAGAGAGTAGAAAAGGGGGGAGCCCAGCTCTGTTGCTGGTACCCCAGGCTGAGGGGAAGAACAGACACTTCCAGTGGCTCAGAATCTCTGACACCCCAATCTACCTAGTTAGGAGCAGCCTTGGGGAAGTCTCACTAACCCCAAATGGAAGTCCCTAGAGTCAGACTCTTCAGAAGAAACAAAAGTCCCCAAGCAACATTAAGAGCCCATGAGGCCCTCCAGCTCAGGGACTGAGGATGACCAGGTTGGTACCTGAGGATGCCTGAGGCCAAAAGTCAGGCTGAGCCCCCACACCTAGGTTAACCCAGAGATGCTGGGAGGACTGCCAAGCAGCTTAGGGACAAAGTCTCAGAGGTGGAGAGCCTCCAGAAGCTCAAGGACAAATCAGGATGCCCCCTCCACAGCCTTCCCACCACGAAGTCACCAATTGCTATTCACATGATCCCCTGGGCATCTATTCAGGATGGGTCTTCCAGTGGGAACACAGAGAGGTCAAGCCTCCTCCTTGCTTGCTATATGTGTATGTGCTCATGTATGTGAGAGGGAAGCCCCCATCAAGATGAGCTGTCTCAGATTGAATGAGAGAACTGTGCTTGGCACTGAGTGATGCCTCTCATGCATGTATGTATATTCTGTTCCCTACCCCTACTCCTCAAACCCCCACTTAATGTCTTCAGAATCTTCTAGCACAGACTCTGACCACAGTAGGCAGTGTGTGTGTTAATAAACAGCCAGGGACTCGCTGACTGGAATGTAAGGAACAGAGTTTAATTTCACAAACATGCACTTATTCCTTCTTGGAGAGTTTTAAGCAGGGGTGTCACGTGGTCAAGTTTGCTTTGGAGAGAACACCTCTGTTCATGGTGTGGAAAATGAAAGGGAGTGGGAAGAGCAGAGAAAGTAGAGTCATGGCCTGCACCTAGGCAATGGCATGGGAATAGACTTGAGCTCTATTTAAGAGGGGCATAGACCTGACATGATTGCTGGAACACGGTGACTGGCTGAAGGTGCATGGTGAGAGGAAGACATGAGGATGATTCCCAAGTTTCTGGCTTGAGCATTTGATGCCTTGGAAGATGTTGGAGCGAGTGTGGGGATTGGAGAGGATTGGTGACCTACAAGCCTAGATGTATTGATGTTGTTGTTGTTGTTATTGTTGGGTGCCTGTGGGTCTCCTGAGACTCATAGCAACCCTAAGCACAACAGTACTGAACCCTGCTCTATATTGAGCCAACCTCATTGTCTCTAACACACCTACCCCCCACGACCCCAGTCACTGAGCCAAACCACAGGTTTGTGATGTATCTCTAAAAGGGAAATGTCCAGAAAGAAGGCTGTTGGGTCCCTGAGCTCCAGACTCTGGAACCATCTGGAACAGAGAGCTAGATCAAGAGTCATCTGTGACACCAACCTGTGGCCATGCATAGCCTTCCCAGGGAGTGTGTGAACAGTGGGGGGAATGCAGGGGAAAGGAGTGGAGCAGAGGGGACAGGATGCAGCCCCAGCACATAAGGCTTTTCCACAAAAGAGGAAGCTGGAGGAAACAGGAGGAAGAAATGCAAATGAGTAAGGGGCCTCAGATGCCCAGGGAAGAGAGATCCAAGAAGAGGGGAAGAAGTTACTGCTGTGACCCCATCCCGAGCTAGCCAAACCCACCCATCCACCCATAATTCTGCATCAAGTCACTTAAGTTCTTCCTATTTCCTAAAACCAGAATGACTGGGGAAGGACAGGATCTTCCAGAACGATGCTCATGCTCGAGGTTGGGGGTTTGGGGGGGGGGGGGGGCGGTGAAGGGAGGCGAGAGATGAGCAGGAAGAACGTCAGGTGACAAACCGGAGAAAAATATACACCTCCCACCTCCAGGGTCAAAGTCCTAGGCTTTAGAGCAAAACAAGTTGTTCCGGAAAAGAGGGAGGGGGAGGCACAGCGGGGAGTGAATGGTGTGGGTGGACACTTGGCTTGAAGGCCCCTGTCCCCCAAAAGCCCTGACTCAGCCAAAGGGGCTCATCTCTTCTCTGCACAGACACAGCCTGGGGCCCGTGCTGGCTGAGACCTCAGTACCCATACGGCTAGACCCTCTGAGCAGCGGCTCCATCAACAATTCCTACTCATTGTTTCCAAATTCCAGCTCTTCTGCCCCAACACATCAGAGCCCCATGGCAGGCCTCCATCTAACCAACCTGGTGTGATTCTTTTTCCCCCTCAGAAAAAAAATCAAAAAGGATCTGCGCTATTTGAAGGGGTCTCTTTTCTCCCAACCCTGCTCTGCTTGTCATGTTCCTTGCTACCAACAGGTGGCAGTATCCAACTCTAAGCTCAGATGGTAGAGGGTGAGGTCTCATTTTCTGCTTAAGATTTCTACAATTTTCCCCCTTTCCAGCCTTTTCTTTTGGGAATCTGAACCAGCTCCAAAGAGCTGCTGCTGTTGTTTTAATTGACTTTTTGTTAGTGTGCCAGCCCCTCACACCTGCCCTGCTATGACGAGTGATTTGGAGAAAGGGGATGGACACAGCAAGCGCAGGCAAATAAATGGTTAAGAAGCCTTTTTGAAGCAGATGATGCTGGTTGGGTTTAGTGGAAAAGCAGTTTGGGCTTAGGGTTCACTCAAGGCCGAGAGCTCAGTCTGGAAAAGTGACACGCTCAGAGTTCTGCAAGCAAGTGGTTGAGGGCACAGAGGTAAACACTATTCACTCGTCCAAATTTGAGAGTTCCTGGAGACCTTCTATTACACAGATCCACAGTAAAACTTTCAGTAGCTGCCAATCATTCTTAAAACTCACTCAAACGAAAAATAATTTAATACTTTAAAAAAAGAGATGAGTTCTGGTGGCCTCATGGCAAGGAGTTGCGCTGCAATCCCAGAGTTACATGTTTCGAATCCACCAGATGCTCTTCTGGAGAATGAGAGACAATCTCCTCCTGTGCCAATTGGATCCGATTTGAACGCATACAAGAAAAGTGGGGGAGGGGGCGGATGTAAAAAAATAAAAACTAAATTTCGTAGCATGAATTTGAAAGCTCCAGACCATCCCAGCCCACCCGCACCCAGCCTCATTTACCTTTGGAGTGAGTCCCTGGGTGAAAAGAACAGTTAACATGCTCAACTGCTGACTGAAAGGTTGGAAGTTTGAGTCTACCCACAGGTACCTTGGAAGAAGGCAGCCTACTGATCTACTCTCAAAAATTCAGTGATTGAAAACTGTATGGAGCACAATTTTTTTTAAATGATAAAAGAAAATTGTATCTGGTCTGTGCATTGCTGTACAGAGGTAACTCATGATTGCTGTGATGCTGAACACTGGGACACTGATGTGCTAAATGTGGTAATGGTTACCCATGGTGGACAGTTTTTGGTGGAGTTCCCGACTAAAACAAGCCTGGAAGCAGGAGCGGCATCCACTTCCAAAATGGCTTGCCTCCAGAAATTCTATGTATGTACAGTGCTCAGGCCTTTCATTCATAGGGTCACTATGAAGTCGTCTACGACTCTACGGCACCTAACAACAAACAACACAATAATTTAAAATTAGCCAGCTGGACTCAGTTTAGATGATCCCAATTTTGTTGGCAACATCCAAAGCATCACAGTCAGGAGCAAGTCGAACATAGGCCTTCTTCTCTCCATCAGGCCTAATCAAAATATTGACCTTAGCCACATCAACATCATAGAGCTTCTTTACAGATTGTTTTATTTGGTTCTTGTTGGCCTTGACATCTACAATGAACACAAGTGTGTTGTTATCTATCTTCTTCATGGTTGACTCAGTGGTCAGAGGAAACTTGATGATGGCATAGTGGTCAAGCTTGTTCCTCCTGGGGGTGCTCTTCTGGGGATGTTCTGGCTGCCTTCAGAGTCTCAGCATTTTAGGCCCCGGAATGTGGGTGATGTGTGGATTGTCTTTTTTTTGTGATTGTGGATGCCCTTCAGGACTGATTTCTTGGCCTTTAACGTCTTTGCTTTGGCTTCAGTTTTGGGAGGGGCTGGAGTTTCTTTCTTCACTTTCCATGCCATCTTCCTGGAGCACAGTTCTAACACACATGGGATTGTCATGAACCAGAGACC